TTTTTTGAGCTGGTGTCTCACTTTGTTGCCCAGGCTGGAATGCAGTCACATGTTCTTGGCTCATTGCAACCTCTGCCTCTTTGGTTCAAACACTTCTCCTGCCTCAGCCTCCCTAGTGGCTGGGATTATAGGCGTGCACCACCATACTCGGGTATTTTTTTGTATTTTTAGTAGAGACAGGGTTTCGCCATGTTGGCCAGGCTGGTCTCGAATTCCTGACCTCAGGTGATTTACCCACCTCAGCCTCACAAAGTGCTGGGATTACAGGCGTGAGCCACCACTTCCAGCCCCATCTGGATTTTTAAGAAGCTCTTTCTCTCTGTGATGCTGAGACATACAAAAGCTGGAGCATTACACCCCAACTCTGCCTAAAGGCAGCTTTGCAAATTTGCAGACTCTATCAGCCCCATGCCGAGACCCATTCACCTGGTTGACCCCATTCTAAAGGATGGGGTTTCAGTTTACAGGGACTAGACAGGGTGCTTTAATTCACTCATCACATCTTAGAGGCAGCTTTTGCTTAATCATTGCCCTTTTCCTCCCTTCCACTAGACAGGGAGCCCCTCATGGGCTCATGTCAGATTCAACCCTCCACCCTTAGCACCTGGACTAAGCACACGTGTATTAAGTGAGCCATCGAGGGCATGGCTCCCACTCAGCATATCGGCAGTCTAGCCTTCGGTGTTGCTGATACTCTCACACGTGCCTTGCACATTTCATTTTGTGATTCTAGGAGTGTCTGTTCTAGAATTTCTTAATACATGCTGCCTGGTCTTTAAGATTCCTTTATTTTTATTTTTATTTATTTTAATTCTTTTGACAGGGTCTCTCTCTTTCACCCAGGCTGGAGTGCAGTGGTGCAATATTGGCTCCTTGCAACCTTGACCTCCTGGGCTCAAGCAATCCTCCCACCTCAGCCTCCCAAGTAGCTGGGACTAGCGGTGGGCACCACCATGCCCAGCTGAGATTCTTTTACCACTTACGCTGTAGAGCCCCTTGTTCTGTAAGGAGAGAGGAGTCTAAAGAAAAACATCCTCTGGGAAAGGTTAACAGTAGCTTACATCCCCAGATGGCTCCTGTCAGATTTTTTGGAGATCAGGTTGTAACATGAGGTGACCTGGGTTTCAGGGAAACAGAAGATTAAAAAGAGTGTCAGAAAAGCTAATAAGAGGAAAGATCTATGTGAGAGCCACCTGAATATGTTGTGACCAGCCTTGAATTTGTTACCAAAGCTCATGAAGAATTACATTAAAAATGATGATCTTAGTCAATCAGGCTATGTTTTTTTTGTTGTTGTTGTTTTTTTTGTTTTTGTTTTTTTTTTTTTTTTTTTTTTTTTTTTTGATGGAGTCTTGCACTATCAGCCAGGCTGAAGTGCAATGGCGTGATCTCGGCTTACTGCAATCTCCACCTCCTGGGTTCAAGCAATTCTCCTGCCTCAGCCTCCCAAGTAGCTGGGACTACAGGCTCGCGCCACCATGCCCAGCTAATTTTTTGGTATTTTTAGTAGAGATGGGGTTTCACCATGTTGGCCAGGATAGTCTTGATCTCCTGACCTCATGATCTGCCTGCCTCGGCCTCCCAAAGTGCTGGGATTACAGGCATGAGCCACCCTGCCCGGCCCAGACTACACTGTTTTAAGAAAGATTTCTGCATCTGTTGACTTCTGAGGTGGATTTAAAGACAGCGCCTAAAGTGCGATCTGAATTCCCCTCATCTGGGTGCTGCGTAGGAATGATCGGAAAGAAACATCGTTTGTCTCTAAGTCCAAATGGCCCACCAGGGTAACCTGTCAACTCCATTCTTCATCCGTAAAGTGGGTTGGAGGGACCAGATGGCTGAAGACTTTTCCAGGTCTAACTCTCTGTGGCTCCCATACTTGGAGAGGCTGAAGCCCAGCTGCCTTTCCCCAGGGCTCTCTTCTTTGATTCAGTTCCCTACGCAGAGTGACACAGGGATCTGGCTCAAGAAATAGCTTGAGAAGCAGATTTCTGATGCAGAGGGAACCAACACTTTTGGGAAGGGCAGTCCTCACCCAGACCTTCCCTGGAGACCCTGGAGGACAGTCCCACTCCGCGCCAGCCTCTGGAGAGAAGTGAAGCCTCTCTTTGCTCTTGGCCAGGGCCTTGGGCCCTCCAAGTACTTAACAGATTAATTAGTTCCTGGTCAAACTGTTGTGGGATTAATTAGTTAGTTAATCCCTAGGGGCTCCCAGCCAATCGTGCATTTCTATTTATTTTTCGTCTTCCTTCCCTAGTGGCTGCTTTCCTTGCTGATCGTCTTCTAGGTCTTTTTGCAGGAAGGAGAGGAAAAGCACACGGCAGGCAGCTCATTCTCAGTTCACGCCAGTGCGGGACATCTGCCCTCTCTGTGCATCCCGAAATCAAATGCAAGTGATTTGAAGAGACATTCCTGGGAATTCTGGCCCCTTCCCTTGGATTGGTAGAAAGATCTTCAAGCATGTCACCACCAGGTTTGAACCAGGACAGGGTAACTGCTGTGGGCCTGCAGGGACGGGCAGCTAGAGGGGCCAGAGGAAAGCAAGCCATCCAGCCAGGGTTATAAAACACCTAACAAGCTCTAGGGGGCTCACGGGATGGTGCTCGCCTGCCTCCCATTCCCAGGGAGACCTCATCGAGGCCACCTTCTGTGGCTCTGCTGTGCTTGAAGCAGCTTCTGGGTTTCCTCCTTCAGGGGCGATTCTGAGGTTTGTTTTGTTCTCGTGCCTCCTGCTCAGGGAAGGGAGAGCAGTGCAATTCTATGGTGCCTCACAGAGAGGATCTTGATTGCCCTAAGTTTTATCAAAGCGGTTCTCAAAGCGGGTTCTCCAGGCCAGCAGTGTCAGCATCTTTTGGGACCTTGCTGGAGATGCACGTGCTGGGACCCTACTCACACCCACTGATTCAGAAACCCAGAGCGCAGGCCTCACAGCCTGTGATTTAACTATTCCTCCTGGTGAGTCTGGGGCTTGCTGAAGTTTGAGAACCACTGCTCTACATTTCTTGAAGACAGGGACTGTAGCTTACTCATCTTTCTGTCTCACAACCCAGCAAAGTATCTGGCATGTAGATACAGACAATTAAATGTTTACTGAATAGCCAGGCATGGTGGCTCATGCTTGTAATCCCAGCTCTTTGGGAAGCCAAGGTGGGCAGATTACCAGAGGTCAGGAGTTCAAGACCAGCCTGGCCATCATGGTGAAACCCTGTCTTTACGAAAAAATACAAAAAATTAGTAGGGTGTGGTGGCGCGCATCTATAGTCCCAGCTACTCAGGAGGCTCAGGCAGAAGAATCGCCTGAACCCGGGAGGTGGAATTTGCCGTGAGCCAAGATTGCGCCACTGCACTGCAGCCTGGGCAAATGAGAGAGATTCTGTCTCAAAATATAAACAAACAAATAAATAAAAATTTTAAAAATTAAAATAAATGTTTACTGAATGATTCAGTGAATGTATTGTCGGGGACAATAGCCTTAATAATACTTAAATTCGTAGGTCCTATTTGCTGTAGAGAGCTCCGTTTTCATAGCTATTGGCTTATCTTTACACTCCCATTGCGGCATCGCAGCCTAAATTGCCTGAGAAAAGCAGCTCCACTGTTACAGGCTGTGTGGACTGGGCCACTTTGCACAGCCTCCCTAAACTTTGTTTCCTTGTCTGTGTATGGAGAATTGCATTATTTGCCTTAGAGCTGTGGAGCGTTAATTAGATGATAACTGAATTATTTAGAATCTGTTAAGCACTCACCCTGTAGTAGCTATTTATAAAAATAATAACCTTCAGAAGGGGACAGCGGAATTTGCTGTGAACAATCTTGCACATGGGGTTAGCCCTGATTATCAGGAGGCCGTGCTGTCCTGGGACCTTACCTCTGACCTAGCAAGGACTCCTACCTTCACCCAAAGGCTTGGTTTTCCTAAAAAGCCAGGCTGAGTCATTTTGTCTTTAGCACTAGGCCCTCCACTCTACGAGAAAGCTACCTAGCCAGCCCTAGCTCCCCTTACCTCCTGTCAGGCCCACCCCTAAATTTTGTGGGTGGCAGAGCAGGAGTGCCGATAGAAGTCGCTGGCTCACAACCTGGCCCTCTTTTCTCTCCAGTTCCTGGCTCCAGCCCTCACTGGGAAAGGCCTTGGGACCTTGGGACCTTGGGACCACGGCCCCTCCCCCATGCCTCAGGCCTAGTGTGCATGGCGGCTCTCAGGGGCACAGAGCTGGGAAGGCTCTGGAATGTACTTAGACTCTTAGGGT